CAATTAAATTATTAATTCCTTCGTATATTATTGGTTTAAGTTGTCGAAATTTAATATTTCAATTGTAAGGCTCGCATTAGCATACATTTATAAGAGATATGCATTTTTTAATAGTTTTTTTAATATGACTCTTATTTGAAGACGAAAAAGCATAGATTTTCTTACAAAATGACTGATAACTAAAAAACTAATCCAAATTTTTGAAAAAGAAAAAAAATACTTCTTCATTATGTCAAAACATAATTTTGTGTCAAGTTTCGTGCCTGGGCGAGGCTTCTGGGGCGATATATTGTGATTACAGACAGACACACAGCCGCTTTTATTATTATGTATAGATGGACAGATTTAAAAATGGGAAATGGTGGGCAAAATTTATAAAACAAAGCTGTGTAAATATGAAGTTCATTTAAAAAAAAACATGAAACATTTGAAGAACTTCCATTAAGTTCTTTTCAAGAATTAAAAAATAAAGTAAAAATCACTCACTTCTATGAGATTCGATGTAAGATTCAAATATTTCAACTGAGATAAAAATCGAATGCTGCCATTCAGTGATTTCAAAAGATTGCAACTAAGGTCTACATTGTTGAGATCGTTGCGAATTGTGTCAAATGCCTCACGATCAATCCTCGCAATTTTATTTTCTTGGACCTTTTAAAAACATTAAAAAAAACGATTAAAGTTTAAAGACCCAGCGTCCAATAATTTGAACAACAATTAGTATAATTTTAGTACTTAAAAATAATATTTTAATTCTTTTCTCTAACAAATGATTAATCCTTTACAAAGTGATTGTCTACTTAAAAATATGATTGGATTTACCATCGTTTTAATTACAATGAGAAACTATAAGAATGGTACAATTCAAGTAACTTTTCGGATAGTTTTATGACATATAAATTATTGCATAAATCTATTTGATCTATTGTTTAACAATAAAAATGTAAAAAATACATAAGATATCTTGCTATATGTATTATATTTTAGGAAAAGTTTAAGTGAAGTTTTAAAAAAAATGCATTATTGCAATTTATTAGTTGCAACTTGAGAAGGCGTGAATTGATTAAATATGATTTAAATCATTGTTTCTCAACGGGGGCGTTGGGAGTATGCTGAGGGGCGGTGAACTTGTTTTGGGCGCTAGGGGGGCGTTGGGTATGCTTTGGGAGGTAGGGGGGCGAAGAGCATTTTTGTCATTCAAATATAATTTTAAAACTTACAAATAAAATTATTAAATTTATTTAATAAATAAAATTAATCTAAAATTAATATTAAAGAAAAATAAAGATTAAATTAACATAATAAATTAAGATTATCAGATACACCTTTTGTACCACCGATAAAACGAACATATACGACACCCATTCTCCGATCCGAACCAACACAGCGCAGCTCATGATTCTGTAGTTTTTGCCTCTGATTCATCATAGCTATTTCGTGAATGGCTCTGACTCATTCAAGTCATTTGACGGAAATCGAAGTGCGTGAGCTTTCGGTATGAATGTTTGATTTGACTCTTGTTTCTTATGATGATTTTCGTTGCCTTCCTTACAGTTTTTTCCCCAGTTTCGATTCGATCTCATTGTTTATTTGGCCAGGTATATGCGCGAATTAGATCTTTGCCATAAATTATTTATCAACTAGTGGGCTGCGCCCCCTGCTTGCTAACGCTCGCCAACCACCGAAAATTGCTACCATATGGTTTGCTTCGCAAACCAAACTCGCTTCGCTCGCTACTAACTTACGTATGCAAATAATTCTAAGAATTCAGAACAATCATTCGAATCCACATAACTTTTTTTTTAAAAAAAAATTACATCTTTTTAGAAAATACTAAGTCAATAAAATAAATCTGAATTCAAATAAATGACATGTAATTCGTTAAACCTATTAGAAATGTGCTGTAGTATGAAATCTTAAAGCGTAACAGCACGACTGAGGCTCATTTTTCAATAAATAACTAATAACAATAACAAAACAAATAAATTCGTGATAGAAATCAAAAATCGTCAAATAAATTCGTAATGTATAAATTCGTGAAAAAAAGCGCTTTCGACAAAATACTAAAATAGAGATCTATCGACAAAGACTACTCACTTCTGCCTAGCTTAATAGTATGAGATTTCCTGTCTCTGGTTATTTAAGTTTCCATTTTTTAAAGCGCTATATGCTGAGCCACCTCAGTTAGATTTGGCATGTGACATTTTTAGCGGCAATCATTGGTCGATTTTCCAGCGTTGCCATTCGGGGAGTTGTAATGAGGCTTTTTTTGTCGCCGTGTAAGAGAAATATATATATATAGATTTGGAGAAATAATTGATTTTCTTTAATCGTTTGTACTTTGCTACCACCAATGTCGGTTAACAAGAAGAAGTATCATCAATACCGTGCCACGTACTTGAAGTTTGGATTTGTTGCTGTTGAACTCTCAACTGCCCATGTGTTTACTTTGTAACAAAGTTTTATCTAATGAGACAATAAAATCCTTCCGTTAGCAGGAGCATTGGCAAAAAACTCATCCTGATAAACAAAATAAAAATGTGTCATTTTTCGCGAACATCAAAGACAAGTTTCTGAAAGCACCTTCGGTCTGCGGGTTGCTAGCAATCTCATCACAAAAATGCGACGATGGTTTGATAGCTTCTTATAATATATCAAAATTTATTGCTAATTCTGGGAAGGCTCATACTATCGGATCAGAGTTGATACTGCCGGTTGTCAAGGAAGTTTTAGAAACAGTTTTACGCCATCCAGCCACATCCAATGCAATCCAAAATATCCCATTAAGCAACGATACAGTACGGGTTACGAAATGGTGATATGGCTAAAGATGTTGAAACTTCTTTAAGCAAACTTTTGATATCCAACAAATTTTTCCTTCAAGTTGAGGAATCATCCTTACCATTCAATGTAAGCTTTACTGTAGGCGTTGGTTCGATTTTGAAAGGTAGGAAAAAGATGCTTTTTGCAAGAAACTTGATTGTAGATACTAAAGGTAAATCTATTTTTAATACTGTCCAAGATTATTTTACAGAGAAAAACAATGGTGGGTCGACATCGTGGGCTTATCGCCCTTTTGCAAAAGGAAATTCCAGATATTTTAGCTGTTCACTGCCTGATTCACAGACAGCATTTAGTGGGAAAAAATATCAGAGACCGTTCGCATCAGTTATTGCAATATGTTATATTTGCTGTGAACAAAATTCGCAGTAATGCTCTCAACGATTGATTATTCAGACAGCTGTGTATAATGAAGAATTCAATCGTTTGCTACTACACACCGAGATGCTCTGACTTTCCAAAGGCGCCTGTCTCAATAGGTTTTGGAATCTTTTCGCCTCAGTGTTTGAGTTTCTCTAAAACAGAGATGTAGCTCTGAGAGACAGATTGCTAGAATTTACGAAAGACTTTGGCTGATTTATTTGTAAAATTTAATGGCATAAATTTACAACTGCATGCCGACAAGCTCAATTTGATCCCTATAAAATCAGTCATTTCTGCTTTTCTGAAAAAACTCATTTTGTGGAAGCAGAATTTTGGTTGGAATGAGTTCAGTGAAGCAGGTGAAATTCGCCCTGATGATGCACAAGAATATTGTCAACACCTTGACTCTTTACACGTGGACTTTTCTGACCGTTTTGTTCCCTGGAAGTCCCTCAATGGGTTATTGGGTTATGCACACTTTTGTGAATATTGAAACAGCAGAGGTTCAGATTTATGAGGAATTGGTCGAACTTTCAACTAAGGAAACTTTGAAGTGATGATCGTCTCACAGAATTTTGTCGCCTCTACCCTGGACTGCGAACTATCGTTAAAAAAATTTTAATGTCTTCCCTACCTCCTACCTTGTCGATCGTGGATTCAGTGCTGTTACGGATCTTGTCCCACAAGAAAGAGAAATCAACTCGAAATTGTGCAACGAGGGGACTTACGTCTTCACCTCACTTAACCAACCTCTTGAACCAAACGTTAAGAAACTAATGTCTCGTTGATACTACTTTTTAGTGTAAAAAAACTATTTTGGGTGTGTTTTTAATTATCTAATTAAGAATAAATGATTGATTTTAAGCATGGTTTTTTGTATTTTTTTTATTACAGTATTTATTTTAATTAGAGCAAATAGACTGCGATTTCCTGCCGTGAGAAAAGTATCGAGTTAACGTACACATTATTTGTTTTAAAAACCAAACAAATGTAACTCTTAATAAATTGCTTAATGTTACCTCTTATAACTCAGCACACCTCGCTCCGTCACCATGCTCTAAATAACTGGATTTTCACAAAGGGGGGCGTTGAAATGATTTTTGCTCCCTAAGGGGGCGGTAACGTTAAAAAGGTTGAGAATCTATGATTTAAATCATCCACCATATGATTTAAATCATCAATTGAATAATTGAAGCAATGGCTAGTCTGTGTGTTGAACTTGGTTGGATTCTGAATCGAAAAACGTCACGAATTTCCTACGATAACGTCACTTACAGATATCCAATTATAAGTGTAATTTCCTACAAGCTACATACTTCTGAGTAAAAATGGCATTTTCTATCAATATGTATTGCTCCAGTCTCAAGAAGCAAAGAAAAGTGCGATATTTATAATTGAGATTCCTTGTTGATTTTAATCTTGCCCTAATAAGTACAGAAATTGTTCCAAAAAAATGTAAGTTTTTTTTGGAAAAAAAAAATTAACCAGTTGAAATTTTTTACCTTGAATACGTTCAGTTCATTAACGCCAACAAAGTCTTCGACCGCCAACTGCTGGAGTTCGTTCTTGTCAATAGACACTTCTGTCAATTGCGTGAATCGTAGAGTTTTTCCCAATTTCTTCAAGTTGTTGCTGGTGAGGTAAAGTCTTTTTACGTTATAACCCATTTCAGCTATTAATATATATGTAAAAAAAAAAGAATATTTTTCATCTGGATTAAGACTAATTTAGGCTTTGTACTTACACAGTAAGAAAAAAAATAGAAATAAACCATTTTAAAAGAAATGGGTTTCTACTAAGCGAAAGAAATGCAAAGAACATTTCTGATTTGATATTGTTCATAAAATTATTCTAAATAAAACACATGCCACTCATCTTAAAAATATAAAGAAAGGATAGCTGGAGTTCCTGGAGGACTAGAGATTTATGTTAATATAATTCAAACTTCGTGAAAAGCTCATTAGTAAGTGGAATTTTGAACACACTTTTTCATCCAATTAACTTTTTCCTTCTGCTTAAATTAAATCACGTTGCTTAAGCGCATAGTTGTTCGAAGATTGGCAGTGGTAATTTAATGGATGAGAAAATTTAAACCGAATGAAATGAATCTATAGTTTTCTATAATAATCCTATCAGACGATGAGGTAATTTTTAATCTGATGTTCAAAGACATCTGTATCTATTAACTATATTTAATCTATAAATTTTAAAATTAATATCTGCTTCGCTGTTGTTTATAGACTCCTAAAACATCCGACCAAGACCGTAGAAGTTTAGCATACTGGATAGTTCGAAGCACGGGAAGGTCACTGACATTAGATCATTCTAAGTGAAGTTAAAACGGGATAAGCGAAAATCGAATGGAACTTTCTAGTTGGTTTAGAATTGATAAAAAAAAACATTGATAAAAATTAAATGGCAAATGATTCCGTTTTTTTTCATAGAATATTTTACAGACGACAGTGCTGTTTTCTAGCTTATAGCTCTAGTTTAAAAAAAGGAGTTTATTGCACGTTCTACGATATTAAATAATTTTTTATTCGTTAGGTTAAATTAGCTCACTGATCAACGTGAATGTGGTAGCACAGGTGGATTATGTCACTACATTAGTAATTCTGAATTTATCTAAGACAATATGCTTATTTTGTCCGCTTAAAAAAATAGGCTTCTATAACACTAAATAATTTAAAATCAATAATAATTAAAAAACTAAGTTATGCACTGATAAGCTAAAATAATAAAGAAATAGTACTAACTGGCTTAGGAGAAGCGAAAAAAATTGTCATACTATTCTTAATGCTAATTCATTTTGGTAATAGATTCTTATTTCATTTTGTAACCAGCGTTGAACAGCCGACCCAATAGAGCAGTGTTTCCCAAAGTGTGGTACGCGTACCCCTAGGGGTACGGGAACAGTTTAGAGGGGGCACGCGTTCTTGTGTGAAATATCTTGCAACAAGCGAAAATTTTAAAACAAAGCTAGCTAATTCAGCTAAAATCAAAAACAAAATAAAAGCTAAATTCAAAAACAAAGCTAGCCATGAAAATTTACGATATCGTATTTTTCTATTGACTATTTTTTGCAGAGTTAGCAGTTAATATTGAGTGGTGTCAACAGCCAGTTGTGATTTTTAACTTTTGTGCTTTTTTATAGTAAAAAATACATTCATTTTTTTTATCAGTGGTACACAGCGTTACGAAAAATTTAGAAGGGGTACACAAAAGTCATAAGTTTGGGAAACACTGCAATAGAGGAATAAAACTGTAAAAAAAGGTATTTTTCTGTGAAAAAAGACTTAATAATTTCTCATTTTATGCAAGATATATTTCGTTTTATTATTATTATTATTATTTTATTTTTTTTTGAATCGATGAAAGTTTTACAGTTAGTATAGTTTAATGCTCAGTACAATTAAAAGAAAAATTTAATCAATTTCTTTAAAGGAACAAAATTTAATATATTTTTAGGAAGCGTGTTCTTAGTAAAAGATTTAAAAAGATTAAGAGAAATACTTGCCATGAAATTCTCGAATTCGGTTCCCCACCAACACCAATTCTAGATTGAATCCGAAGCTCTTCGTTTTATTATTATTATTATTATTGAATAAATGAAAGTTTTACAGTTAGTATAGTTTAATGCTCAGTACAATTAAAATAAAAATTTAATCAATTTCTTTAAAGGAACAAAATTTAATATTTTTTTAGGAAGCGTGTCCTTAGTAAAGGATTTAAAAAGATTAAGAGAAATACTTGCCATGAAATTCTCGAATTTGGTTCCCCACCAACACCAATTCTAGATTGAATCCGAAGTTCTTCGTTTTATTACTATTATTATTATTTTTGAATGAATGAAAGTTTTACAGTTAGTATAGTTTAATGCTCAGTACAATTAAAATAAAAATTTAATCAATTTCTTTAAAGGAACAAAATTTAATATTTTTTTAGGAAGCATGTTTTTAGTAAAAGATTTAAAAAGATTAAGAAAAAAACTTGCCATGAAATTCTCGAATTTGGTTCCCCACCAACACCAATTCTAGATTGAATCCGAAGTTGATGCTCTGTTCTGGCATTTCTTCAAGCATGTTGTAACTAAGATCCAGTGTGTTGAGATGTGCTAGATTTTGATAGTGGCTCACGTCAAATTTTCGAATTAGACAGTGGTCCATGTATATAAACTTGATATTTGGTGCTTTATCATTGAAACACGTTGGAGTAACTTTCGTTATAGGATTGTTTGAAATCAACAATGTAGTCAAATTCAAATTCTTTGAGGGTAAAATGGCGTTTATGTCAGTGAGATTATTGTAATCCAAATAAATAAACTAAAAATTAAAAAAAAAAGAATGCACACATTAGATCATCAGACGGAAAGTGTATGAACAACTAAAAAACAATGATAAAGTAAAATGAAATAAAGAAAATTATAACTTCTCATAACATTACAAACAAATGTAATATAACCTTGTAATTTCACAAAGATCTAAGAGTTATAAAAAAAAGTATAAGAAAAATTGTGATCACAGGTTACCCCTTGGCAAAATGGTTGTTGCCGAAATTTTTTTCGGAAAAGCAGCTTTATTGTGTTTTTATCTTGGACATCTTTAACTGTTAATCCTGAAATGCTTTGTACATAAATTCGCAGACATACTTGAAAACAGCTCAGACACATTCTGTGTAAATTCTTTTGATGATTGAACAGATATTGAACAGCCAATCGAGATCAATATTAATATTTTCGGATTGGTACAATGGTGTTTGAAGGAGATTGTAAGCTGCATCATACACCCGTTTCGGATTCACAAGTTCATACAGGAAATGGTATTAGAAAGCAAGGCTTTTTTTTTCAATTTTACAAGAATAGTGAATGAATCATTTATATTGCGAGGAAGACAGTCTACGGTCTTGTGCACGTCATTGGATACGTTGACAATGGATCCTTTTATCCCTAACTGGTGATCAACACCTAGTTTCCGTATTTTCATGAAAGGGGTTCGGAGAGCCACCATTTCTTCGGTTAATTCTGTCAACCACTTTGGTACTTTTGTGAGGAACGGGCTTCATGTTTGCGCTTGCGAACGGAATCCTTTCGTTTTTCTGTTTGTGTATAACGCTTAAGTTATTCCCGTCTACGTTCTTTGGTTTTGGCTTTTTTAGTTGCGGTAAGTTTAGGCCTGGGCAGCGTTTATTTCTTGCTTCAACTCTAACCTCTGGGGCCATGTTAATCAATTTGGGACCCTCTTAATTTGTGATATTCACCTGGATTAGTATTGAAAACGATCCAGTTTGAATTGTGGGTTAGAATTTCTGATTCTTAATTAAAACAATAAAAACAAAAATATTGTTTAAATGAAGAAATTTTCTTTTATTCACAACTCAAGAAGTATTTATGGGATCTCTCTTGCCCCATATCTCAAAAATAAACTCACCAGCTTAATGCATTTACAAAATTAAAAGTGAAAAAAAGAATTCTAAATAAATTATCAAGCAGCAGCGGTCGCTATAGCAACGCATGCAATGACGACGCATGAGAACTCTTTACTATTACCCTTGAACACAGTTGAAAAGTTTGATGACGTCCAATTTAGATTCGCACGCCATCAGACCCAAAACAAGACCCATTTTGCCGATGTGTAATAAGAATAAGCTTTTTTATTAAGAAGAATAAAACGAGAAATTAATTTTATTTTCGCCTAACTACTAAACATCGTTAAACATCAGAAGCATCACTTTCGAAAATTTTCAGAGGGGAGTTTCGGTGGTGATAAAAAAGTTTATGAAGCCTTTCGTTTCATGCGTAAAAAAATAAACTTTCTTCCGCTATATAAAACTATTATTTCATTTTTTTCTTTTAGTTTTGTATCCTGTTATTTAGTTTGCGTCAGAAAGGGGAGATAAATTTTACTTGTGTTTAGAAAATAATTCAGGGGCGATTGTGAGCCCAACTCAAAAATCCTGAAAATTTCTTGAGAAAAATCATTAATGACGCATTTCAAAAAATTAATGTCTTAATGAATTTAATCATTGATATTTTCAAAACATGAAATTCTAAATAAACTATATGCGGCATAATTTAAATAATTAATTACTTAGAAGTTTACTTTTATCTCCAATCACATTTATTATTCTACCAGAAAAAAATATTAACAAATGAAAGAGATTCCAAGCATAAATTCTAGTTCTAATATTTTTAAATAAAATATACAAGAATTTTTATACGTAGATGTGATCAATGATTTCTTGAAACTTCTGGATCTTGGATTTCCGGAATCTTACGGTTAGCGAAAAATCTGGAAATCCAGATTTTTTCCGGAGCACAATCACCTCTGGAATGATTGCAACTTGTATTGTTCTCAGGCACAGAGCACCCTAACTAGTCGGAAAATGGTCGAAATTTTTATCAACGATAAATTCTGTTTAATTATAAATGTTGCTTTTAGTGGTCATAAAAAGTTTGAAACTTATTATATCATCAAGCGCGGAATACCAGATGATATTTAACCCCTTCCTTTTCGCTCCCGTGAAAATGACGGGTTGAGATTTCGTTCTTTATTTCTCGTTTCCGTGATATTGACGGACTGGAAACTAATTATTTTTTCTTGCCCGGAAAGCATATTATTCCTCATTTTACACACCAGATAGCAATACCAGGATATTTTTAAGGTAATTATAGATAGTTAGTTTATTTTACAAAAGATGCCACCACTAAAGTCAGCTAATCAGCACTAATCAAATGCGTGTATTTGTGACATGTTATTTGTAATCTTAGCAAAGTTACCTAGTTAGGCTCTTTGTGAATACACCTGGTTTGTGCTCAAGATAAAATTTATTTTTTAACCCCTTCCTTCTCGCTCCCGTGAAAATGACAGGTTGAGATTTCGTTCGTTATTTCTCGCTCTCGTGATATTGACGGCTGGAAACTAATTTATTTTTTTTTTTGCCCGGAAAACATTTTATTTCTCATTTTACACACCAGATAGCAGTACCAGGATATTTTTAAAGCACATATTTTCAAAATTTTCCTTATTCAATTATTATAATTTAATTATTATTCCTTTATTTAATTATTGTAATTTTAAAACCAACATTTAACACTGAATGTTGGCTTTTCCTAAAAATTAAATTTTTTAAAATTTCAAGCTGAAAACAAATCAAAAATTAAAAATGAATATATATATTGTTCATACACATAGATCCATATAATTTTCAGGGATAAAAAATAGACACTTTTATGACCGTTTTCTTGAAAATTAACCGATCATTAAGGGGTTAAGCAACCTAATTAGTTGCTAAATAATCGCAATTTCAAGTAATCATTTCAGGCAATAAAATTACAATAAATAATGCTTGAATGTCATTTATTTATACTTACTAGTGGAGTTGCAAACTGAAAAAGATTTTTGACGTGTAGTAGTTGGTTATGGGAAAGTGCAACTTTTCTCAGACTTTTCCATGAATCGAACAAATGGGAAGGTAAATAAGCCAGCTTGTTATAAGAGAGATCAAATATTATGACATTATTAGTACCCTACAAAAAAAAAGAAAACATCGTTTATGAATATACCATAATTGCAATTTCTATTTGAAAAAAAAAAGAAAATGATCATTCTTATTTACAAGCTAAAAATGATTCATTGTATGGACGTGCTTTAGTTTAGGGTCACTATACACTTTTGACCAAAAGTCACGTAACACATAAAAAAAAGCATTCTCTAAAGAAATTTTAATTTATACACATTAAAATTTGAAAATAGAAAACTGAATATAAAATAGAAATAAAAACTAATTCATTCCTATACGGAATGAAATACTATTTCTTAATTAACAAAAAATAGTTAGGAAAAATCTTCTTTATCATTCATTTCAAACTTGAAATCATTGAGCGGAAAAAAATTTTTTTTTTAATTAATAAAAAATTCTTAGGTAAATTTTCTTTATTTATTTTAAACTTGAAATCATTGATGGAAAAAATACCAATTTGGAGTTAATAGAAGTAGTTAAGTAAATCTCATTTTTCAATTATTTTAAAATAAAAATCATTAATAGAAAAATACTATTTTTGAATAAATAGAAAATCATCACATGAATCGCCTTTTGCATTTATTTTAAACTTGAAGTCATTAATAAAATATATGAAACTTTTTTTCGAAAAGTTTATTTAAAATTAGGAAAGAATAAAAAACTAATATAGATTTATTTTTTTAAATGAATTGAACAATTATATTAGTACCTTTCTTATAAAAAGCTTTCTTAGAAAGTAATGTTGAGAGATGGGAAGCTAATTTAACTTTATTAATAATCTGAAGGAACAATAATCTGATGGGACTAGCTCTTGTTTGCGTTACATGAAGAGAAAAACAACGAAAAAATTCATCGTTTAGACCGACGTCAAGGGGACTCTAACCCACGATCCGTCTACCACTGCAGATATTTTATGTCACACTGTGCAGCACTGCATTTGGAGAGAGCCGAGAGCTGTATTTGTATCGATCAGCCATATCTAGGATTCGAACCCAGGGGATCATTTAGACGACACTCTGTCTCCTGAGCTATTATAGATTTAATTGTAAACCATGTAGTCGACATTGCGTACATGCCGCCTTTACTCTTCAGAAAGGCTGATGCCTTTCGAACTGAAACTGTGTCCACATCAAGTCATTGCTGGGGATCAAACATAAACCCTACACAAAATAAGAACAGAACTTAACCACTATGTCATCGCTGCTGAATTGACCACAAATATTATGCTAATGCTAGGAATTCACAAGTTTATTTTTTTAAATTGAAATTACAATCCATTGATGCAAAAAACTGTTGCTTAGATGGCGGTTTTGCATCAGTTAACTCTACGCAATAATTTAACTCTTTGTATAGACTAAGACGTTTTTATAATCAAAGATTCGGAGAGAAATTGATGAGAGCACATTGCTTAAGGTGAGTTTTTAAAAGTAATTTATAAGATATTATGAATTACTTCAGCTCTTCCTGAAATGAACCAATTTTCGCCCGCCCCCCCTAACTGGGAACGCCTAAATTGAGCCATGGCCTTAATTTAATTTTCCCAAAACTAAGTAATTCCTAAGGATAGGGGAGAGTGGGGTCAATTGTAACAGGGTACGATTGTAAAAGAGCAAAAATTTCGAGTGTCGGGTTCCAGATTTGGTTCCTAGGTGGCGCACAAGGTGTATTTAATAAATCTACATGTACACCCCTGCTGGCAACCATTTTTATGTACTTTTGAAAGAGTTACATCACAAAAGATATTATGACGCTACTTTTTTTAGTATTAGAATATTATACTGTAACAAAGTAATTTTGTTAAAATAAATAAAAATTATTAACCGAATATGTAAGTGGACACCTTAACTAACATTTCAAAAAAAGAAATTTAGTTTTGTTAATTTACTAGCATTGTTTTTAACAAATGAAGCTGAAATGGCGTCTTGGGGATGATTGTAACAATAAGTGTTAAAAAGAAATTTAATGCTGAAAATAAATAATCTTATGTTTACAAACCATTACTTAACTCTTTAAGAACCACCAATAGTTTCCTATATCATTTATATTATGTTGCATGTGCATTATTTTATTTGTCACCTTTCACAGCATAAATTAAAATTTTTAACCCCTTAAAGTTAAAAGTTTAACCCTTTAGGTCTCTGCTCATTATTATTTTTACTCCTAAAATATCACTACTATTTTGATCAATAAAAAAATATATCACAACTATGATAATATGTATAATTAACTATGTTTAAGTTGAATTTATGAACTGTTACAATTGACTCCGTAAGTGAGGACGATTGCAACAAGTTCACGACTGTCAAAAATTGTTAATAACTAATATAATAACATTTAAAATAGGGTATTTTTTTTTCCAGTAGAGGATAGTCTACTTTACTCGTCTGTCAATTAATACTAATAATATATTGGATTTTTTGTTAGTTAAAAATAGTTAAGTAAAGAATGTTACAATTGACCCCACTCTCCCCTAACTATTATGCAAATTGAAAATGATAACTAGAATTACATTTTTTCTGGCAAATGCAGGCAAAATTCTGCATATGCTCGTTCTTTTAAGACAATGGCTATTAAATAAAAGAACATAGTTTCTATTTACTATTCTTTCTTTTTTTTGCGAACCTATTGATCTTGACTTCAAAGGAAGGTAACAATCAATAGAATCATATTGAATTTACCAATACACTTGTACGGATAACAAATGAAATAAAAAAGTAAGTAATTAACAAACATATAAATAAGCAAGTTCGAGTTCTTCTTACCTCAAAAACATCTGAATCAATTTGCTGAATGGAGTTATTGAAAAATGAAATGTTCTCTAGGAATGAAAAGTTTTTCAGTGCATGACCCTCCAAGGAGGTGAGCAAGCTATTATCCAAATTTAAATATTGGAGTGAATCACGGACAGGACCTAAATTGGGAATTTTCTGGAAAAAAAATAGTTAGATATGTAATGAATAGAAAGCATGTAAGTCCTTGTATCAAAAATTTAGTATTCCTTAAATTTAAAAGCAAGGCATTCAGCTCTGAACCAAAAAATAAGACCCTTATAAACAGAGGAGATTAAAAATGTAAGATGAGGTAGAGACTACCAATTCATTTAGATTTATTTAATTTAATTAATAATTCTATTAAAACTACTACCGTTACGTAACGTTGCGAATGTATCATATTTAAAACGAAAACATTCTTCACAATCATTTTCAATAGTAAACTGAGAGAAATATGATAGAAAAAATTGCTAATTTCAATTTCGTTTAGTAGATTTTTGCTATTTATTAGTCATCACTTTTTTGCATTTTTTATTGCGAATGGCACCCCTGCAGTTGTTAAAGCAAAACGGCAGGCAGTTTAACGTTGTTTTTAATTTTTGCGTTTTTGGCTATCTCTGAGGAATAAGCAGCAAAAAAAAATTATATTTACGAACTTATCTTAAACTCAAATGCTTTCGTTCAAATTTTCAATTATACCATTAAAAATTACATCATTTAAAAAGGCATAAACATTTGTGTATTCTTACGTATTTAAATATAAATAAATTGAAATAAAATTTATTTCTTCCGTAAAATTGTCTTCTTCTTAAACAAGTTTCATTAGTGTATACAAGAATTTTATGATTTGCGAATTGCACAGATATATTCTTAAACGCCAAAAGTATAAGTAACAATAACGAAACTTCGGACATTTTTCTTTGACTAACCATTGGAAATATATTTTCCGAATTCTTTCTCAACTTCCCATATTTTGAATATCAAATATTACAAATCCAGTGAAAAAAAAGTATGTTTATTCAGAGAAAGTACTTTTTGTATTCAATTTCAAAATTTAATTCATAGGTTAAGTTAGCTACTTCATTCTAAAAATAACTTGGGACATTAAATACTATTCTAATGGCAGGGATGAGATTANAAAAGTGAAAAAAGCGGAAATCCGCTAAAAAGCGGAAAAATCTCATCCCTGTAATGGGGTGAAAATACGATCATTAAACAAGTCGTGGTAAATTTATTTGTTTTGGGTATTATTTGTTGTCATTTTTGATTTATAAAGAAAATTTCCAAAATTTATTTAGTCTATATTAAATCGCAAACAAATTTTGACTTTCAGTATGAAAACTTTTTTTCCATTGTTCTATTTAGCAATTGTTTTTTATTAATTTTCTGCAATCTTTTTTTGTCATATATACACAATATTTGATTTATTTTTCAGAGTTTTCCTTTCTAATAGAAAATGTTATCTTTTTTTCACTATTTTATTGCCCATAATAGCCTATATGTGCTTCTGTGGATAATAGAAAAAATAATAACAGCCACTAAATAGGAGGGAGTCAAAACATAATTTGCTATGGCTTCATATTTTTTATGCCTATTGATAACCTTTTCATTTCCTAGTTATTCTATTCTCATTTCTGTGTATCGCTAGGGATACAGATGCCATCTGTGAGACAAAACCTGAACTATTTATCGCAGATAAAATAGTTTTCCATGAAGGAAAAAATAAATGTCTTCAAAGGAAAATTAAGATTTAGTCTAGAATCTTAAGGAATTTCAAACCTTGAAAATAAACAATGGATATACTTCAAAAAACATTTAACTTTTCTAACTCAAATTTTTGCTAGTTGATTGCTGTTAGCAAACAGGGATCAAACAATGTTTCAAACAAAATATTGTTTATTGCTGTTTTTTTTTCTCCTTTTTTCAGAAAAAATGATAAAAGGGCAATTAATTGCGACAAATATGAAAAAAAATTTCCGAAAATATATGTCACAATTTGAAAATTTAGTCGCCAAGCCATAGAATATATTTGGGCTCTTAAAAAAGCTTACGCTTTTGCTATCCCGTGACTTTAATCTTAACTTCTGAAATGAAATTCACAATAACATTTTGTAAGTTTTCAAATTAATTTACTACATGTTCTTAGTAAATGTAGATACATAGAAATTATTATTTTAAAAATAATGCCTGTGTAATGCCTTTTTAATACGATACAGCTAAATTACTATGTTTCAGTTTTCTTTACCTTTTATTTTACTGCAATTAAACCAACTGTTAATTGAAAATAATTTAAATTGTCTAGGTATGGAAATTTTTTTATATGTAACATACATCACAGTTTATCTAATTTACAGTTTTAAAATTACTTTTTAGTAAAAATCGAACATTTTAATGTTGTCCCAGGAATCTTTCCACTCTGTTAACATAACTATTGTTTTTAAGTTCTTCTGTTGAGGTGACAAAAATGGGTAATTTTAAAACTTGTCATTATATTTGCGTTATTCTGAGAGAAAAAAAGCTTTAACTAGGTACAGATCGTTTATTCACTTTCCTCTCTCTTACGAGCACATATAATATGGGATTCATATGATATGATGAATCATATGATTTCTTAATGGGAAGATCAAATTACGTTTTTCGGTTTTATTTTAACACTAGCTGAATACCCGTTCTTCGCACGGGATGAATTAAAAAAGAAAATAATCAATAAATCAGAACTGGTCAAACACTACGAAATAATGCTCAAAACTGAAAGGCATATACCGACACGATTAAAGAGCTTAGTGGAAGAACCAGGTAAGTGCCATTCTTGGGGGAATTAATATATCAGTGAAAATATCCTAAAGGGTTGCATCAATATGGATATTTTTAATGTTACAGAACTATTTTTTGTCTTTACTCTAATCCTAACATGACTAATCCACATTAGTATGCTTGCACGGTTTTATTTCAAATTAGGCAGTGGTAAATAAATTAAGGCAAAGAATTATTAGTCTCGCTTTCAAGTAATTTAGTCATAAAATAGTTCGGATGGAAATTTTTTTTGTTCTGAAAATTCTGGTTCTTCCATTAAGTTCTTCGATTAATATAGCTAAAATAATTTCCTTATTTTTTTTTATTTAATATTATTTGTCGTCTTTTTCGGTGGCTTTACGTTATTAAAGTAAGCAAACTCGTTTTTGTAGTTATCCCATCTGAGTAAAGTAAAAATCTATTTAGCATCATTCAGAATGATGCTATGGTTCGCTATCAATTTATGAGAGTCAAAAATTATCATTATCAAGTAATTTTCTTCGAAACATATATTGTTTTCCAGAGTCTGTATAATAATTATNCAGTGTTAAATAAATTAAGGCAAGGAATTATTAGTCTCATCTTTAAATAAATTAGTCATAAATTAGTTCCGATGCAACTTTTTTTCGTTCTGAAAAGCCTGGTTCTTCCATTAAGTTCTTCGATTAATATAGCTAAAATAATTTCCTTATTTTTTTTTATTTAATATTATTTGTCGTCTTTTTAGGTGGCTTTACGTTATTAAAGTAAGCAAACTCGTTTTTGTAGTTATCCCATCTGAATAAAGTAAAAATGTATTTAGCATCATTCAGAATGATGCTATTGTTCGTTATCAATTTATGAGAGTCAAAAATTATCATTATCAAGTGATTTTCTTCGGAACATATTGTTTTCGAGACGCCGTACAATAATTATTTCCACAGCATTGGTATTGAATCTGCTTAGTATTAGTGCAGTTTTAAAAATCACTATATATATCAATATAATATTTCATACCAATATGTACCTATATCTATCAATGTAATATTTTATACCTATATTAATATTACCTATATATTAGTATATTTGGTGCTTATTATGTAACCCTTCAACATTTAAGGTTTGTGTGAAATACCTGCTATATTGGCCAATATCTTCTATATTTGACAATGGCAGTTAAATATAGCAGATATTGTTTCAACAAAAAAAAAAAAAAAAAAGAATTGTTATTAAAACTTGATATTAACTTTGGAGCATGACCATATCTCCATCTGACCTCTAATTTACTGTTAAAATATTTATTGTTATATATTATTAATATTCTCTTCTGTTACTATACTTCCACTCTATTACCATGTTCATAGGAACTTTATTTTTTGACTTTTAATTTAGTATTTCATTAAATAATAAGTTTATTAAAAGAAATATAGATAGGTATCAATATTTGTATGACTAAAATTCAATTACTTGCAATGCAAGAAAATGTGAAAATTCAACTCTATAATCAGCTTTCTCCTCTGGTATCGATCTATAATTTGTTACTAACCATTTATTAAGCTTCTTATATACATAAACAAAAAGCAATTTTAATAATTTACTTTGTAAATTTGACAAGAGTGTAGATTGTTTACACAGCAGAAGTTTCCGGATCAAATTACGGTAGTAAGTACTGGCTTTTAGTATGTATCAGCTGTAATGTCGATTTCTTAGTAAAATCCAATTTTATCGTAAAATACCGTAATTTTTACAGTAATATTTATTTAATTAGAGTGACCTTGTGATTTTACAGTGATTATTAATGTAAAAATCACGGCATATCACGGTTTTTTGTTCCGTAACATGTTCCGGTAAAAATTGATTTTGCTATAAAAAGTACCGGCACTCATAATGTCTATACTTTTTACAGTAATTTGATAAGGAATTTTTTTCAGTGTAATGGAGTGAAGCTCTCAGTCAGCTTTCCCCTCTGTTACCTTTTTCTAATTTGTTACAAATTATTTATTGAACATCATTTCCCTATAAGAATTAAAGAAAAAGCAATTTTAGTGATAGTGTGATTTACAGTGTAAATTTGACTAGAGTAAGGATTGACTAGAGTAATTATTTTTTATTAATGCTTTTGAATATTGGTAGCAGAGAGAAATATAATGTAGATTCAGGTTAATGTTTAAATTTTTTCTTTCAAGCTCCAAATATATATATCTTTAACT